TCTGCAAATTGTTGATGAAAGAATTGATGATGATGGAGTTACAATGAAGTCTTTGCGCAAGCTTCAATCCTGTATTCATGAGGAGGTCCGAAAGGAAGAAGCCGAAAAACAGATTCAATTGACACTAGATCAATTCTTTTAAAAAGGTAAGCTTTACAAATAAAAAAAAAAATTATAACTTTGATTTCACGGTAAGAATATAGTGAACAAAAATATTTTAAATAAATAAATGATCAGTCATTTATCAGTATAGAACGTTGATTATATCTTGCTTAGCGTTTAACTAGAGAATATATAAAATAAAATAAAATTTAAGCTCATTTTTGACACGATCACTAATGTAAAATTTGCATACCATAAATAGCCAGTACCTGGTTCGATATAGTTCACGCATGGTCATAAGTTTTAAAGCCTTCAATAATGTATAGCTAATAGTAAATGACTAAGTTTACAGAAAGATTTGAAACGCTATATAAATTTGACCTGCAAAGAGCAGTCCATACCAGATACTTGATACGTACGTGGTAGTGAATTTTATGCAATTTTATTGGATACTGTTCACGTGACATTACTTAACAAATCAGAAACTTAGGTATAAAGACTATCGATTATCAGAAATTGCAGGTTATCGGATATTAATTAAGGAACAGGCATGGTGGCTTGATTTTTAACCAATTATGGCAGGTTATCGGTTTTGACAGGATCGGTTTTGGGAGGGTCGACTGTAATTGTTCCAATCCTCTTCAGTTATTTTTTTAAGATCTATACAGACCCTGGCTCGATCTTTTTTGCGAAGACTTGCAAAAGGTACTTTTCTCTCGTATAATCTTGTTTCTATTTTGGCTAAAAGTAACTTGTGATCACTTGCTGTTATATGCTCAGCTTCATATACTTTGCTTGTGATTATACTTCTGCTCCAGCCTTGAGATATCCAGATATAATCAATTTTCGTTTCACTACCTCTGCCTGTCCAAGTTGTTATGTGTTCCTGGAGTTTGCTATCTTGAGCGTATCAACCAGATTTTTCTTTTCTATAAGATCTATAATTTGTTTTTTTTTGTTTTTTGGTGTTCGTGATAGCGCTTTTCCTTTTCCTTTTATTTGGTTTTCTTCTATTGCTAGAGTGTCTATATTAAAATCTCCCAAAATTATGACACTGATTGGTTTGTGCTCTTGAGTATCTAATCTTTCTTTTAGATATTTGTATATCTCTTTTTGTATTTCCTGATTATTAGGTGCTACATACAGGGTAATGATATATAGCCTTAGTTTTTTAAAATTAAGCCTTAACTTTAATATATATGGGTTAATGCTTTTTACTCTAGATATATGGTTTTTCCATCTTTTTTCTATAATAATTTCTACTCCTGACCTCTTTTGCTTTTGTTCGTCTACTGTTGTCCAAAAGCTATAATACCTTTCATATTTTTTAGTAAGCAAAGAACCTTCAATTTCGGAGATGTTGGTTTCCCCTAACCCTATAATATCTATTTTTTTCTCTTTTATGAAATCTATAAGTAAATCAAATCTACCTTTGTTTGCCTTAAGCCTGTTAATATTGTGATAGCTGATATTTAATGTTTCTAGTATTGTTTTATTGTTTTTTGGAGGATTGTCTATATCTATATTTGGTGTATGCGAGCCTCCAATCTCGCTTTAACTCTTATAGATGCCCCTGGCTACTTTTAGGAGTGGTTTGGGGTCTCTTCTCCAGTATTGTTTATTCGTTGTTCCTGTTTAATTTCTAGATTTTCAAGTTTGCTTAAAATTTGACTCAGGAGACTCTCTATTTCTATATTCTCTTTCTTAGATGAAGGTTCTTTGGCTGTTTAGATTTTAGAATTTCTAGCACTTCTTGTATCTGGTTTGTTTACTAGGGGCTTTCTTAGTTCTTTGTTAGTTTGGTTTTTGCTATTTGAGGCCTTGTGTATTAGTTGACATTCGAGAAGAAATTTATTTTCTTTGTTTTCTGTAAAGCTTTCTGCTACCTTCTTCATACTGTTTCTTGAAACAAATGTATATGTTTCTTCTTATTGATTTTCTTTGTTCTTCACCACCCAGTCTAGTTTTGTATTGTAGTAGTATACTGGGTGTTTGCACACCATCTGTTTATCTTCTTCACTTGCAAAATAAATGCTTGCTATTTGCCATTGATTGCTATTTCTATTTTTGGAGATATATATAGCCTTTGCTTTTGTACCTTTGATTTGTCTAAGAAAGGCTGTCTCTATTGCTGACTTGGGAACGTCTCTAATTATTGCTTTGTGTTTACTTCTTTCTTGAAGTGCTTCAGCATCAAACCTGCCTTGGGTTAATCTTGACATTTTATCCTTCTCGAGATGTATTGCTTACATTGACTATGGCAATTCTTTTTTCCTTTCATCTATTGGTTCTATTGCGATGAAAGCTGCTTTGTTTTTGCCATTTGCCATGAAGCTTAAAACTGTTGCTTTTCTATAGTATCCTAGATAACTTCTTATCTAGTTGGCTCTTGTTTCATTTGGTATATCCCATACCGTGATATTAATTTTTTCAGGTCTTTTATTTGTTTCTCGTTTGTATTCTTTGCTTTATTTTGGCACCCACATTGAGTTGTAGATATCATTTTTGCCTGTGATTTCTTGATACTGATTGGAAATAGAATCTTTTTGGGCAGGCCCTTTTGCTTTTGTTGCTTCATGAGGGTTGTTTTGGGGCAGAGCATTATTTATTGCACTATTGGGGATTTCTATATTGGCTTGTTCTTTATTTGTATCAAAAGTTTGTTTTGCTTTTTCTTCTTTTTGCATGTTTTTATTTCTGCTCTCTTCTATCCCATAGTCAGTCTGGCCACATTCGTGTTTAACTAGGCTATTTATTAAGCTATTTGCGTCTGAGTTTTTTGGGCCAAAAAAGCTATTTTTAGTAGTTACAGGGTTTTTCCCATCTCTTATTCTGATGTATTCACAATAGTTATAGGTTTCTATAATATTTCTAAAAAGACATATGATTTCAGGTTCTGTTCTGGTTAGGGCTGCTAGCTCTCTGCCTTTATGCAGAACTTCTCGTTCATGGTCTTTTTTAATTTTTTTTAAAATTGTCTTCAGATTTTGTAAAGATCTTTTGTTATTTGTCTAACTTCTCATACCAGTTTATACTGGTAGATGTTTCTTGATTATCACTTACTGCTAGACTCTGCAATTTGTTCTAGATTGTTGTGGTGCTTTGTTTGTATATTTTGATTACGTGTATGCTTGTTTGTTTGTTTATTTTAGAGCATGTAATGTGAGTTTATTTTCTTGCCTAAATTGGATCTATGCTTGTTTGTTTTCTTGTTTTGCATTTGTATGTATAAACAGATCTACAGTACAGGGTCTAGAGCAAACTCCCAAATTTTTCAAAAAAATTTTTTTAAAGCAGTTTTTCATTCTTGTAAAAAACTTATTTTCATAGCTATAGCTTTTTAGGCTTGCTTGGTTGTCTTAAGCTTCTAAGTAACTAGTGTTTGTTTTTGAAGTTCTTTTTCTTAATACTATATAGACTGTATCCTAGTCTCTAGTTATCATTTTTTTTTTTCAACAAATTTGAAACTGAGAATTAGCGGAGAGAGTGTGATTTTTTGAATAAAAATATTTACATTAATACCATATTTTACCGTGCAAGATACCCGGTGTGACACAATTTTTTACAATAGAAAAATTTTTAAATCACGTATATTTTGCATCACATAGTGTATAAATAATATTTTAAAAATTGATCTACATTATTTGTCATGCCAGGTACCTTGCACAGTAAAATACGGTAATTATTTAATAAATATTGTATATATAAATTCAAATATATCAATTACTTTAAGAGCTTCTTTTGTTTTTAGAAGACTTTCTATGCAATAAAAATGAGAATTCTATTATGTTACACTTGGTTTAATAAGGATGATATATTTATAATACAAAAGATTTTGTTGCTCTTGCAGTTTTCTAATAAAATATATAATTAATATTTCAAAAATATGTTACTATAATAACTGTATTATCTATTACTTTTTTAAATACTAGTGACTCTTTAAAATCTTTCTAATGCATAAATTTAACTAGTTGGCAAAGCAAGGTAGAAAAACTTTATCTATATACTTTATTTGTAGTTGCTTTTTACAATATAATACAAAATTAATTATTGCTTTATTTAAAATAAATAATATCTTGCTACAGTATAAGCTGCCATGCTATCAGTCACCAAAGCTATAGATTTAATTTCTTTAAATTCTAAGACATTAAACTTTTCTTCTATTTTTAGAATAACATTGCTAGCACGTGATCTTTTAACAGTAATATCCCAAACTTTTTATATTAAAAATAACTAGAAGAAGTAATTAAAACACTTCCTAATAAGTTTTGGTTAACCATATTTGTTCAACTATCTAATATTACAGTAACTCTAACTTTATCATCTTGTGCTTTTTTTTTTATTTTAAATATAAATTTATTAGTTGCTTTATTCATATTTTTTTTACTTAATTGTTTATGTAAAAGAAGTTTAAGTTTTGGGTTAAGAAGTTTAAAAGTAGCTTGTGATTCTGGGTTTTCAACCCATCTAAAACTCTACCCATTAGATACTGTTATTCTCAAAATAAAATAATCAAATTTTGGCTTACTTGTTTTGGAAGGCTCATATACTATGTGATGATCTAAAGGTCCTCTGGATTCTTGTTCAATATTGTCAGAATCATCTTCAAATTTATTACTAGCTAATTAATAGTATATTTAGTTAGTTTTTTAGACTTAAAATATACAAAAAATTTATTTAATAATATTTACATATATGTTTGCACTTTTTTTGAATACTTTTAGACTTTCATTGTCTGTATTATTTATTATTCTTGTAGTCTCTTCTCCTTTTTTATTTTTAAAATGCATGCAGTTTTTTAGATGTGATTTAACAAGCTTTTTTATGTTAACAAATTTTTTTGAATATGCATATTTATGGCTTTCAGCTTCTTTATATGCAATACAAATTGCAAACCAATTATATTCATTAGACTTTTTTTTTAAAACTTCAATAAATTCTGTTAAACAGTGCCTTTTAGGTTTTTTTTATTTATATTATATTCAGTAAATTTGATAAGCTAAAATTTGAAATATTACTAATATGTACTTTACAATTTATATCAAATCAATTCTTAATTATTTCATATAAAATATGATCAAAAAAAGATACTCATTGAGTACAATATAATACAAATAATTCTTAAATATTTCATATAAATAATTAAAAAATATAGACAAAAAAAGATACTTATTGAATATAATACCAAAATTAAAGTCTATAAGCAATGCCAGATAAAGACATATAATATTTTAGTTTTTACTTTATAAGATTCAATCTTTGATATTGCTATTTAAGATTAATGCTACATAAATAAAACTATTAAAAGTTGAATCTAAAAAGGTAAAACATTTTTTTACTAACCTAATAAGTTTTTTATTTGGCATTTTGTTTATTTTTTAAATAGTTATTAATAATTTATTTTGAATATTAATAGCAGTATTTTAAAATTCGCACTATACAAATATAAATAGGAAAGCGTTTAAACTAAATATAGATTAACTATGAGAATCAAGATTTATTTTTTTTCACATGATATAATCTTGATACTAATCTTGTATTTATAATAATAGAACAGCTATATATCAATTGTAAGGTAACTTGTACATGTGATATCAGTAATTAATTTAAGTGGGATCATTAATTTAGTCAGGGTTGAATCATTTAGGATAATCTATTTAAGTATGACTTTATTGATGTAATTAATTATAAAAGGATCAGTATCATGTAATTTAAAGGTAATAATTAATAGAATTGTATTATTGAGTAATATGTAAAAATAATGAATAGACTAGATATAAATTAAAAAAAATGATGCAACAATTTAACATATAATACAGTCAGGTACATTACCAACAATAGAAATCAATTCTAGATTATTCCATTTAATTTTGATTGGCTTACAGCCACATTTTTTGATTACATTTTGTGGCTTTTTGCCATATATGTTTGCAAAAAAAAATTTTATTGATGAAAAGCAAAATGTTCATAGTTTTATAATCTGAACTGATCTTTTCAGGATCAACTCTTTGAGCAAAAGTGTATAAGACTTGAAAAAAGAAGTTGTTTTGCTATTCGAAATTTACAATTTGATTAGCTTATTAACGTATAACTCAGCTTCTGAGATATAACTCAGCTTTTGATTTGTGTAATCGAACAAAAAAGAATCGTCCGATCTGCGTTTCTATACTATAAAAGGGGTGATCTGCATTGCCATTTTTGGTAATGTGCCCGACTGTATTATGCCAATCAAATTTAATACCAGGAACGGAGTGATGTAAAGTGTATGGTCACATATGCATTTTTAATGGCGTATGTACGTACGTACGTATGTACAAAATTTTATAACTGATTGGATTATGCATTAAATTTGAAATTATGCACTTATACTTCACGATATTGCATCACATAGCACTATATTTGTTAAATTGTATAAAATGATTATCGGAAAAGTGGATCCTTTTATCCATCCGTTCTTGGTTTAGGTCAAATAGCATAAAATGATTATCGGCAAAGTGGATCCTTTTATCCATCCGTTCTTGGTTTAGGTCAAATTTTATAAAATGATTATCGGCGAGACTTCTGTTCTTCGCTTATCGCAACTGCATCGTGCAGCTACTTAAATCACTTTGTTTTAACATTTTTATGTAACTTTATAAAAACTCTATAAACCCGATGTAGATTTATATAGCTATTTATATAAATCTATATATACGTATTCTACGTAAAATGACAAAAAAAAAAAAACACTTAAATATCAAGGCTAGAAATAGATTTTACAACCGCTTCCTAAAAGTGTGAACAATGATTTCCATATAGAATCGAAGAATTTAGAAATTTGATTACAGTTATTTTCAAAAAGATGTGGATAACGATTCTAATATACCCATGTGGAGAATCGAAGAATGTTGAAATTCTGCCAGTAAAATTAAAAATCGATTAGTGCGGATCTTGAAAGCTCTGAAATCTGAGAAACTTCGTGAATTCTCCATAGTATAATTATTTGCCTCTTTTCACAAATTTTTGAAAACTGCTGTGGTAAAAATAAACTTCAGGTATTGAAACTCCGAAAATCTGGGAAGTATCGTGAATTCCTCATGGCATGGTAGTCTATGACCGTTCATACCTTTTTGAAAACAACTGTAAATATTATTTTAGGTATTTGGAGAATGTTTCTAGCATATTGAGTATTTTTACTTATTATATCAATGTTTATTTTTATATAGTTATAAATAAAATTTATATTTTATATAAATAATAATAAATAAAATATAAGTATATATATAAATTCTTATCATACAAGTCTACAATGGGGATATTATAAAAACTTATATAATATTATATATCTTTAAAGAGCTGCATAATTTTATAAAAACAACTTGCAGATGTAAGTGTTTTGTGAAATATTACGCCAATTTTCCTATATGAATTATGCAAAGAAAACCTACAAGTCATACTCTTTGAATATACACTTTTACTAAAAATATCTTAAAATCAAGGCGATTCAAATGATATTGAAAATAGTAAGTACTAAATTGTCTGATATTAAGATATTTTTATTAAAAGTAAATATTCAAAAAGTATACAGCTGTTTTCAAAAGGATGTGGAAACCGATTTCCGGATTTATATATCCGGTTATATACTATGTCATGTAATATAACGTGACATAATGTTTTAAATCCAGATATAAATAAATCCGGATTTATACTATGATAAAACCTAGATTAATCCGGATATAAAAAATATATCCGGATTGAGGTATTAACTCTAGTATATTTCAAAATCCTGAAATTTAATCGTTGCGTCGTGTGATGTCGGGATTCAAGTATTTAAACTCGCTTATCATTAGTAATCATTATTACTAATCATAATACTGCAACCCGACATCACACGACGCGGCTATTTAATTTCAGGATTGGCATAGACCCTCCCATGTAAATTCTGCATACCGGTAGTAAAAATTAAAAATCCGATTAAGCGGGTCTTAAAATCTCGGGAAATCTGGGAAATCTCCATAATTTAGTGATCTGCATCTTCCACTAACTTGCGGTTTTCTTTTGGCAGTACTCATCAGTGTTTCGGGCGAAACCCGATTTTGCAGATCATTTGCAGATCAAATCGGCGAAACTAGTTTCGGAGGGTTTCGGACTTATAGGGCGAAACTAAAATTCCTCTGGGCGAAACGTTTCGGATTTGGAAAATAGTTTCGCCCGAAACACTGGTACTCATACACATTATATCATAAGATTATTTTTTTATAGAATCAGATGCAGATTCTAAATATAATTTCTAGAACAAAAACATAAGCTTTGGACCTATTTATAGCTGTTTTCAAAAAGGTGTGGCCAGGAATACACCATTATGTTGGAAAGTCGCATGATTTCCCGATTTTACTGATTCTGCAAATAAGGGAAATCAAAAGGAATCAAGGAAAATCGTGCAGATTTTTCATGAGGCGTGCACCTTTTTGAAAACAGCTGTAAAAAATTTTTTTTGTAACCTTAGTATCACTCTATCTGTACATATAATTCTCGTAGTTTCGCTTTAGATGAATTATTTTGTGTTCGTGCATAAATAACAAATATAAGTAATTTTCTCCTTTTTGTGTTATAGATTTTGCTAGCGCATAGATGGAACGCTTTCTCAAAAATATGGAGCTCTTTTTCAAAAATATGTCCACCACTTTTCGACATTATTTTTTTCCTCTTTGTGTTATAGAAAAATTATTTGTCATTGTATTATTTATGCATTGCATATATACAATAATTGAAGGATGTCTGATCTATATTACAATGATTCCGTCCTTACGACATCTACTAATTTTATACCTTCTGTTGCTATTTTTTCAATATATGACTTCTTTATTTGTTACTGTATGTTATTTTATTATAATCATATAGTATTCTTATCTATGATGTGTTAATTTCATATTATTTTATTTAGATCACTGAACGGAAAGTCTCACACACAATCATTTTCCTGCTTCTAAATTTCTTCATGAAATTCAATATTTTATTTAAATTATATTATTATTATTTTATAACCGATATTGGATGGACTTTATTAATTTTTATCTTAATCACACTTGTATACTGTCAACGGTATGAATTATTTTATATCTGAACTTTGAAATCAAATTCTACATTGTGTGTTTTTTTAATTTTTTTTAATATTTTAAGAAAGCGTAAAAATGAGTTTAATATTGAGATTATTAACTTATTATCTCAAAAAAGTCAGCCTGTTATTATGCGTAAGTACTTTAATATTTTAAATGCTATTATTGTTATATTATTTTACTAATAACTAATAATCTATATTATAGGATTATACAGATGGTACAAATTTCAGCAAGTTCTTGCCCATTCGCAGATCTTTACTTTTTTCTTTCTTGGACAATTGTGGGGAACTAACTGTGTAGTTATAAGAAATCAAAGTAGTTTCAAAATTCTGCAAATGATGTCTTTGTTTCCATGGTACTTCATATTGCCACCAATAATTGCATTTACGATGATCAAAGGGGTAAGAAAAAATAATCAAGTCTTTTTTTTTAAAAAAAAGATCAATTATAAATTATATTTATAAAATTTCAAAAGGTTAAAGCCGAATCAAAAACTACAATGGGAATATTTTATTTTTGCAACTTGCTACTAATTGTAGCCATTGGCCTTTTCATTTACAATTTTAATTATTTTCCTGCACATCATTATCATTCAACATTTAAGTATATCTATTTTTTCTTAATGCCTTTTTCTGCGCCAATCTTAATTTTGTTGCTTTCAGTAATTAATTCTATTATCTGTTCAAAAAATTTTGGAAAAAATTTAAAAATTTACTGTAAGTATCATTTTTATATACCGTATTGGCGCGTAATAACGCGCATCTGCGCGTTATTTCGAGACCCTGCGCGATATTTCGGGACGCACATGCGCGATATTTCGAATCATTCTGACAAATTTTGGAGACAGTCAATTCGATATATGATCTACTTATATAGAAGTGCGCGTTATTTCGGGACGCGCATGTGCGTTATTTCGAGTCAAAAATGCAATTTTCAAAAAAATGCGTGTTTCAAAATAACGCGCATGTGCGTTATTACGCGCCAATACGGTATATATAATTTATAGTTTTATTAAAATATATTAATTTATAATTAATTTAATATTTTAGTAAATTATCAATTATGGTCAGAAGTTTTAAAAGATTATAGCTATAATATTGATTTTGAAAAAGAAGTTTAAGTTAAGGGAGCAGTGCACTAAAGCCAGACATCAATAAACTTTATGTAGTACCTCATACGTGTAATACAAATTTGAAAACTGGTTACTTACAATTATATCGCTAGTACCTTTTTTAAATCAATTATTTTTGTATTGATTAACTCTGTAAACATAAAAAATATGAATTAACTTGATTTGCAATTAATGATTTAACTATATATGTTTATATTTTAATTGATTAATATGGGTTATTGATAATTGGGCTTTATAGGAATAAATTTGTTTTTAGAATCTTATGTGAATTAAATTCTCTATGTTCATATGCCAAAAAATTTGTTACTAAGCGACATAAATAAATCTTATTAAACTCTAGTTTTAAAATTAACTTTCTACACCTTTTTAAAGCTAAAAAAGATGTATGTGCGGTTCTTTTAGTACGTTATTAAAAAGGTTACCGCACTTCCTCGATTCCGTAATGCCGACATGAAATTTCATCTACAACACTTTTTTTTTGATAAGACATGTTTAGCATTACATTTTTTTGACGAACCTTTCTTAAACAAGTTATTTCCTTAACTGTAATTTCCAGACATATAATTCTAACCAACACTAACTCTAAATCAGGTTAAGGGCGTTGAAGAAATTATTGAGGCGAAATTTCTTATCTAAGAAAGGTCGAAAAAATGTGCTATAGATAAATAGCATGTCGGTATTGCGGTGTCAGAGAAATGAGTTGGCGGGTAAATAGATTTCGGGGAATTGAGTGACAACCATAAAAATGTACTCAAAACGTATAAATTAATTATCCGGACAATTGATTTGCATTAGTAAATCAAACTTCTGTGATATTTGGCGAGAATTAATACCGACTTATCCAGCGAATATTAAAAAGCAATTCAGATTGAGATTACATATATACTAATTGTCATTTCAGGAATCATTATTACTTGCTATACGTATTATTGGGGTGTGCAGTTACAAATATAGTGCAGGTAATATAATGAACAAGATTTTTTGTAGATCAACTATAATTCAATAGTAAAAACATATGCAATAGCTTTTGAACCAGCAAACCTACACAAACAAAATTATATTTGTCGGATTTGTTGTTATATGCTCTTTAACATGAAACGCTTCTTTTTTATTTTATTGTCTGGAGCGTAGCAGTGAGGTAATGTAATACCAAAGTTCTCTGTTTTTGATCTATTGTTAATGAAATCAAAAAATAGCTATTGCATATTGCCACAACATGCATGGAAAATTTCAATGTTACATTTTTGATGATTCATTAATAATAATATCAAAACCGAGAATTTTGGTGTTACATTATTTCCGCTACGTTCCAGACAATAAAAATTAAAAAAAAGCATTGACACGTTGAAGTACACATTATAAAGAATCCGACAAATATAAATTTATTAGTGTGGGTTTTCTGGATTAAGAGTTATTGTAATTTTAGCTTTCTATGTTTTATCATTAAATCATCGTTGATCTACAAAAAAACTTGATTAGTGATCATCATTATTTGACTGCATTATTGACCCGGAGCGTAGCGGAGTAGGGTGGGACATCAACTAAGTAATCAAAACTATGTTAGCGACATTGATCAATTTACTAAGATCAGATTTATTAGCAAATTGATAGTAGTAAATTGAATATTATCTTTATATTGTTCAATTATCAAAAATATGCAAATTTCTAAAAGATTCAGACGAAAATTGCACTTATTTTTCGAGTTTTTTTTGAATGAGGAGCATTCATTAGAACTATCTCGAAGGTTCAATGGTGAATTTTTTGCGAAAGCCCTAAGTTAGTTTTAACTTATGATTTCAAGATAATTTTTTTTACTCTAAATCAATAAATTTTAAGACATTCTATAAGACGAATGCCCAAAACTTTTATGTTGATAGAAAATTATCGAGCATAGTTTTATTCTCTAGCATTTTATAAGCAATTTGTGAAAGTTTCAAGGTAATTTGATTCCTTGACAAGAAGTTGAATCGTTTTGAAATTATTTTTGTCGATATTAGTAATCAAAATTGTTGTGATCGATAAAATTAAGGAATTTAGAGCTTAATTTGACTTATCAGTGATGTAATGTTGCATACATTAGAACTATATAAGAGATTCAATTAGAATTTTGACAAACTTCTACTTTAACCGGTATCATCATACAACTTTGAAGCATTAAGTGCAGTTAGGGTGAAAGTTATTAACCAGAATCATTATACAACTTTGAAGTACTAAGTACAGTTAGAGTGAAAATTATTAATAAAAAAGCGATTTGGCGTAAGAACATATAAGTGAGTCGAATATTAAACATTCCTATATTAATTGCCAAAAAAATGTAAGATTGTTATTTGACCATTCGTGAATTGTCTATAAAAATTGATAAATTATAATATCATATTAGACCAAATGCTGAAAGTATCCAAGCAAAAAGCTCATACATGTAAAGCAAGTCAAGTATCAGCAGATGCACAAAAAGCTGCCCAACATAACAAACAAATTCATGATATTAGTCAAATGTTAACCCAAATGGATGACAATAAATTACAGTTAATTTACCAAAACATCGTTCAATTAGCCAATAATAAAAAAACAAACTGAATGACGCTTCACCAAATGTTAGTCAATATGATTGATCAATTACCTAATGATCAATTGAAGCCTGCAGCTCATTTATTTAACAAAATGAGATATGATAAAGGGACAAATAAGGATAAACTGCTTTTACCTTTTTTACAAGATAAGACATTAAACTTTATAAAGACGTCTCTTTACAAGCTACATCAAGATTCTGGCTCATTAGTTCAAAACAACAAAACCTTGCAAAAAAAAATAAATCAATTGGAAAATTCAAATGCTAAAACATTAATAAGGTCAAACAATTAGTGGGAACATTATCACATTATAAGCGTAAAAAGAGTTAACATATCTCAAAAGTACAAGCTACTGCATATAAATCTCAACTTGCAGATTCGCAAAGCTTGAATGCAACCATTCAGGCAATGATTATGAAAGATAAGCATCATTATACAACACAATTCATAAATATGGCAGCTTAAGTATCACAAATTGGTCAAATATCATTTAGAATTATAGTTCAAGCAACACAGTTAATCTTGGGTTTTTTAACTGGAGAAAGTTTATCTTTGCTGATTTCATCTAGATCAATTATTCAATGGAATCAAGAAATTAGTGAAATTTACATTGATCAAATTTTAAATAAAAATAATTTTTCTACCTTTTTTACTCTTGGAATAATGGTGGATGAGTCAACCCATGATCAGCAAAAGATATTTGTACTATGCATCATATTCTGGAACTCAAAAACAAATCAGCCTGATTTTCAAGTGTTAGAAATGAAAGACCTGGCAAATTGTATAAGAAAAATGGTAGCTCAAACAATGTATAATACTTTAAATTATTTTAAAATTAACGTTTAGTATGCATTTCAGACAATATAAACTACATGAGTGGAAAAGCTAGTGGCGCAATTACTTTATTTGACAAAATAAGTGGTGCTAAAATGGTTCAAATACTCTGTGAACTTCATGTCACACATATTATTATGAATAACTTTGAGGAAACTGCCTTTGGAAAGTTATCTAATATTAGCAGATTTTCACAAAAAGAACACCTAGCAAATCTCTTATACTTAGTCTGAGACCTTCATGATGGTTATAATAAGTCAGATAAAGATAAACCAATGGGTGCTCATTCTAACTATATTTACAGACTTTATGAAGAACAATTTTAATATTAAATAACAAAATATCAACAACCACTTCGATCAAGATGGCTTTATGAATTGATATGTGCTAAACAATATTTAGAGTGTAGAAGTATTCACATACAATTTGTGGAATAGTTTTTATTACAACTTAAAGCTTGAATTCATACGCCAAAATCATATATTAAAAAATAGTAACTATTAAAAAAATGGCCTGGTAATTCAATTTTAAACTTGCAAGTTAAATTTTTAGTTCAATTTGGCAAAGACTTTTATTATCCAATGACTAAATTTTTAACAGGATACAATTCAAAGTATATATACTTGACCAAACTTCTAAACCAACAAATCTTCCTCCTGGAAGGCATGCATATAAAATGTCAGATTTTGTAACACATACAATAACAAAGCTTCAAAATATCATCGAGGATTTCTATTTGTTTTTTAAAGATAAATTGTTAGAAAGTACCAACATACTAGATAATTATCAACGTAATAAACTTATTTTAGATGTTAAATGTGGTGCTCAGAAAGCATTAGAACTTTACCAAAAATAGTTGAATTGTTGGTTGTATTTGCCATTAAGTATTTGTTGCTTGGGTGGAAAATATGGACAGGAGTTTGCACGAAGCTATGCTTATATTATTTTATAAACATCTTTATTATCAGTACCTTCACTGCAGGAACTATGTTATATAAAACTCATTG